GCTGGGCTCCGGCGATCCTTCCGCTTCAGCCTTCCGAGTAGCCGGAATTACAGGCATGCGCTACCACGCCCGGCTGATTTTTTGATTTATTGTAGAGATGAGGTCTTGCTGCCCAGGCGGGTCTCGAACCCGCGGGCTCAGGCCATCCACTCACCTCAGCCTCCCAAAGGCGCGGGATTACAGGCTGAGCCACCGAGCCCGGCTTGGGAATTGTTTTTAACGGAGACAGGAAAGATGGAAGGAGGCGTAGGTTTTGGAGGAAAGATTGGAAGCCCAGTTTTGGAAATGTCAACTTTGAGATGCCTATTCAATATCCAAGTAGAGATGCAAATAAGTACTGCAAGACATATTCGTCTGAAATTTAGGGGGTAGCTCCAGGTTCAAGATGTATATTTTGACAGTCATTGGCATACCGATGGTGTTTAAAGCTACGAGTCTGGATGACATAACCAAAGCAGTGAGTGTAGACAGGAAAAGGAAGAGGTCTGATCCCTGGCAGATGCCAGTGTTTAGAGGTCAGGAGAAGTGGAGGAACCAGCAGAAGAGACTGAGACGAGAAGTGAGATGGGAAGAGAACTTGATGTTTCAAAAGCCAAGAAGACAAAGTATTTCAAGAAAAGAGGGAGCCATCAGCCTTGTCAAATGCTACTGATGAGAACCATGAATTAACCATGGATTTGGCCATTTTTCCTTCTGATTTCTTCTGTTTTCTAGGTGAACTATGAAGAAAAGGCATGGGTGAGAGGGAAGAAGAGAAAGAAGATATTGGAGGTCTGAGAATTCGTATAAAATAGTGATCAGGGAAAGTTTTAGTGATTAGAGTAGAGAAATAAAGTGTGATCGTCGGCAGCCCTAAGGGTCCTCTCCAGTAAAATAAAATGGCTCATCTGTGAAACTAGGGGAGAAGGGTAGTAAGAGACTCTATGGAGCTCCATGTCTGGGAAACAGTAAGGTTTTAGTAAATGCTGGCCAATATGCAAGGGGTTATAAAAGGGACTTCATCAGCAGATCTCTTCGAAATTAAGCCCAGCTTCTTTTTTTTTTGTTGAGTTGGAGTCTCACTCTGCCAACCAGGCTGGAGTGCACTGGCATGCTCACGGCCACCACAGCCTTGACCTGCCAGGCTCAGGCGATCCTTCCACCTCGGCCTTCCAAGTAGCCAGAACTACAGGCACGCGCCACCTCGCCCAGTTACTAAACCCACCTTCTCACCAACTTCAATGTTGGTTGGTTTCCTTTCTTTCTCCTTTCTGTAACGTTTTCTTCTTATTAATAATTCTAATTTTATAAACATTTCACAGGACTACAAAACACTTTCACAGATATTATACCGCTACTACCTCAAAAACCAAATGAGGCTAATAACAACTCCCCCCATTTTACAGATGAAGATTCTCAGAGAAGTCGTCGTTTGCTCACGAAAGTGAAAGAGAAGGGTTCTGGAACCAGTTGTGTCCATCGGGCTGCCTCAAGTTTACCCTGATCATCTCTGCCCCCTCTGGTGTTATCTGTCTTTCTTCTCTTCCACCACCCACAGCAGCCTGCCCTTGTGATCGTACGTCCCAGTCCTGATAGGAGAGGTGGCCTTGCGGGCTCACCTACGACAGTATCACCACCAAGGCAGAAATCCTAGTGTGCGTTCCGCTGTTCCCCTCTCCCCTGACCCAGTCCCAGGCAGCATTCATTGGGCATTATTCATAATTGATGTGTGGGTGGATGGGGGAGAACAGGATGGAGTCCCACTTCTCCCTCACTCGTTCCTCACACCCCCACCCTCGGTGAGAAGGCGACATCTGTTGGGACAAAGTTAAGAGACCAGGATTTTCATAAGCATGGGAACCCATTAAAGTGTGTTTTGAGATGGAGTCTGTACCAGCAAGGGAATGTTCAGCTGCCTTGTAGATGCCCCCCGTGAAGAATCAGAGGATCTAAAGCCTTATAATCAGAACATCCCCTCTAGGGTGGAGCTTGACTGTGTATGTATACTTGGGGGAGGAGGAATGGGCGCAGGAATAGGAAAAGTTTCCAGCCGGGCTCGGTGGCTCAGCCTGTCATCCCGCGCCTTGGGAGGCTGAGGTGAGTGGAATTGCCTGAGCCCGCGGGTTCGAGACCCGCCTGGGCAGCGAGACCTCATCTCTACAATAAATCAAAAAATCAGCCGGGCGTGGTAGCGCGCGCCTGTAATTCCGGCTACTTGGAAGGCTGAGGTGGAAGGATCGCCGGAGCCCGGCAGGCGAGGTTGCGGTGGCCGGGAGCGGCCACTGCTCCAGTCTGGACGACAGAGTGAGACTCCAACTCAACCAAACAAAAAAAGAAAGAAAAAGTTTCCTGTGTTTGTGGAGGAGAATAAGGAGGGGTGCCAAAGAAAGCCGGGATTCCTCAAAGCTCATCTTAAGCCGTCTCTATGATGATGGAGAATTGACTTGATAGGGAAAGGAAAGAGCTGTTTTGCAGCACTCCTAGGACTCCCCATATTTGGGGGATCAGTTTAAAGAAAGGTTTTTCAGTTGGGAACACTCTTCCCAACTTTATGGGCACAACCAGACTGGTGTATGATACTGACCAACTATCTGTGTATCTGTGATCTGGGTGCGTGGAAGAGAGCTGGGGAGTGAGGAGACAAAGGGGGAGCACAAACGGGGCTGGTAAATAGAAGGAAACAGCTATGAGAACCTAGAAGATTCCAGTGTATTTTCCCTTCAGGACACTGGGCAAGGAGTTCTTGATTCTACAGATTTCTGGCAGGTCAATGTATCCTGGTATTAGGATCAAGAAAAATGACCTATCATGAAGACCTTCTTTCCAGCAAACACCGTGGAAGAGAGATGAATGGAGAAGGGTGTGACTTCTGCTGTCCTAGAGGATGATAAAGTGAGTTTCCCCTTATCTGTGGGAAGCAGGCTGGCTGGCAAGATGACCTTCAGAGATCCCCCATGGCCCCAGAATCCATTATTGTTCACAGACAAGTCATTCTGAATTCTCCGCCGCACATTGTGTCAGACAGTGTGTAAGCAGCTCTTTGTTTTCTGGCTGGAGTCCTTCCCAGCCACCCACCCAGGGCATTTCACGTGCTGCCTTCTCAGCCAGGTCAAGCCAGGCACCTCACTTCCCTCTGGTTGGCACCAAGGCCAAATCTTGGCTTTAAGAGACTAACAGTGTGTTGACTGGCAAAAGGAAATAAGGAATTGAGGCAAGATAATTTGATATAAAAAAGAAAGAACTCTATTACTAAAAAAAAAAGAGAGAAAGAAAAGATTTAAGGTCTTAAGGAGCTGTAGTTATCTACACGAAATCCAATTAACCACATAATTATTTCTAGTTCTACTCTTAGCAGCTTACTTTCACAAATACACACAGACACACACACGGATAATCTCCTCCGTCTTCATGGAGTATTTTCCAGCCATTCTGCTCATCATTTCAAAAAAAGGAATGCAAAAAGAGACAAGGAAAACAAACAGACTCAAGCCAAACCCTCCAAAATGTGTTTTTCATTTTCATGATAATTATTTTATTCCTACAGTGCTTTTCTCCCTATAATTTTACTGGTAGAAGACAAATGTACCTATTCCCGCTAACGGCCTCTAAATTTACTCAACTGGTACTAGAAAGAAGAACTTAACCTCACAATAATTGAATTTAAATAACATCCAATTCTATGAATTCAAACATGATCTGCATAATAAACCAGTCAAGCTATATGAGGGCTGGCGGAAAGAAAGAAGGTCATATTTAATGTGTGTATTCGTATCGTATCTGTATTTTTAATGGCCTAAATGTGCAATAGCCTGTCCGTCCGTCTTTCTGTATAACTCATCAGCGTTACCAGAGAGCTAAAATTAAAGACTGATTTGCCCTCAGTCCTCTGCCTGGCTCAATAGAAAAACATAATTTAGATAAGCCTTGAGCAGCCAGAATTGGGTTATTTGCATACAGTGGGCTGGGCCTGTTTCCAAGGTTCCAGGCCACTAGGTTGAAATTTCAGGGATGCCAGGTCACCATGTTCTCCTTCTTTCCCAGAAGTCAAGTCAAGGCAAGGGCACAGCTCATCTGGCAACTTAAGGAGCAGAGACTCAATTGCCCCTCGGGGCAGCCCTCCGTGGTCTCTGCACGTGGACAGAGGGAGCCCAGCCTCTGCTGTGCAAAACGCTCATGGTGTTCTTTGAATGAACTGTGTTGAAATTCTCTAAAAATTAATTTTCACTCTCTATAATTAATATATCATTAAGCATGGTTAGGGGAGACAGCAGATGTTGTAAGTGCAAACGAGCTGTGATGACAAGTTACACTGTGCGAATGTTCCAGATCACGGCCCTGGGCCCTTAGAGCCACGTCTACGGAATACTGACCCTTACAAAGCAAAACAGCAGGTTCTTTCCTATGTGCTGGTCGTCCCAGCTTTGCTAGTCTCTGGTTGGTGACTGTGGGTTGAAGCAATCTAAACCCTGATTCCTTGATTCTCAGAGTTCAGGGGTCATAAGAATCACCTGGAGGGCTTGTTAAAAGAATTCCCATGCCCAGGCCTCACTCCATAGATTCGGATTCCATGAAGACTGATCCACTCTTCTTCTCTTGAAGCAAGATTGGCTAAGACTCATTTTGTGAAGCTCTTCAGCAAACCTTCTGTCTCCTACATCACTTTAAGACTCTTCTGTATACAAAGATAAAAATAAATACCAGTGGCTAAAACTTACTGAGCACTTACTGGGTGCCAAGCCCTGTAATGCAAGCGTTGAGTGCTGGGTTCAAATCCCAGTTCTCCCACTTGTTAGGTGAGGGATGTTGTGCAAAGTACTTGTCCACTCTAAGTCCCAGGCCTGTCTGTACTTCTCTGCTAGTCCTGCTGCTGCTGCCGCTGCCTCTCTTGCTAAATGTGTGCAAGGGGCCTGGTATATTGTCCCGAGCACCTGACATGCCTGGGGTGATACAGCATGGTTCATGGGTCCTGCGGAACCGAGTTGGCTGGGTTGAAGCCACACTCTGCCATGTGCGACCTTTGTGACCTTAGGTGAGTTTTCACACAAGTGGGACCAGAGATACTTCCTGCCTCCCCAGGTTCTCATGAAGATTCACTGGGATAGCACATAGGGAGAAGTTCTTAGGGCTCTGTCTGATGCACAGGGAGTGTACCTTGTGGTATCGTTATTTGTTATCTCTCGTGTACCCATCTTATCTTACTGAATCTCTTCACATCTCAACAAAAGAAGGAAGGGAGAGGATGCCACTGTCTTGCACGCTGGACAAGGGTTTGCTGAGGTGTGTTGTCTTCACAAGCACTTCTCTTCACTGCCTTGTAAATGAAACCCACCACTCAGAAACCTGTGAGTTTGTAGTTACCGGGAGCCTGGATCGTGTGTACAGGTAAGACTGGGTGCCGGGTGTGGTGGCTCACACCTATAATCCCAGCACTTTGGAAGGCAGAAGCGAGAGGATTGACTAAGCCCAGGGATTAGAGATCAGCCTGGGCAACTTGGCGAGATCTCGTCTCTACAATTAAAAAAAAAAAAATAGCCGGACATGGTGGCGAGCACCTGTGCTTGGAAGGCTAAGGCAGAAGGATCACCTGAGCCTAGCAGGTCGAGGCTGTGGTGACTGTAAGCGTGTCACTGCCGTGCACTCTGGGCGACAGAGTGAGACTCTCAACTCAAAAAAAAAAAAAAGAACTGTGAGGAAAGCCCCAAAGTCACATGATCCAGGTGCTGTTAACTGCCCTGTTACTTCTGGGGGAGGGAAGAGCGGACTAGATACCCCAGTTCTTCATTCACCCTCCTCCCGCTGTGTCTCTTGCCCAGGACCCATCCCTCCCCAAACCTTCTTCTACTTCCAGGGCCAGGGAGACAGTAAGTGTTTCCAACCACCTCCTCTCTTCCTCTCTCCCCTTTAAGGCAGAGTTGTGAACTTGTGTGTTCAAGGCCAGCTGGGGACCTTGTCACGCCTTCAGAAAAGAGGGAGCCTGAAAGAGAGGCCCAGAGGGTAAACTGACGTGCATGGTAAAGAACTTGGCCGGGAAGGGGAGCAGGAGAGGAAAAAAGAAATGTCTGTCCTCTGTTTTTCTCTATGCATCTTATAGAGACGTTGCAGCAACCAAATTAGCTTTCAATTCTTCCTCTACATGGGACTTGCGTTTCTTCTTCATGATCAGCTTCATTATTTTGTTTGTTCGCTTGCTTGTTAGAGTGGAAAATATAGTTTATTTAGAAAGTAAATGAGAGAGAGAGAGAGGAGATTTACCTACCTAAGGTAGAGGAGAGAGCCAAAGCTCAGAAACATGGCGGCCATAGCTCAAAGAGCCACATGGACACACCAGCGTTTAACAAAGCAACGGCCCAGATTCATTATTATAGTTCAATTTGACTGAAAACCTGATGTCCAAAGAGGGCACTGGCTTTTCCAAGGATGGTGCAATGGGGCAGCACTGAAAGAGGAAAAAAATTCAGACCGGACCACACCCCAGGGTCAGAGCACCACGGGGGGGGGGTCTCACATCCCTGCAGGAGCGATGCCTCTTCTTTCTCACCAGGTGATAGCCATGCCAGAGTCTGCTGAAAACCTGGCCCAGCTCTTTTCACACCTCTCAAGGAAGTGTACTATTCCTGAAATCTTGGCTCCAGTTCCCTGTCAGGAATAAGCATGCTAAGTAGAATCTGAATTACTATGGCGTGTGAATAGACTCCGGTCTGTTGACTCCAAGCTTCTGCTAAGCTGTTCCAAGTGGCTGTAGCTTCTGTCATCTTGGCAATTTTATGTTCTGTTACAAAGAATTTTATTCCTAAC